GCAACTGGTAAAAAAAAAATCTACATTTTAAACCACTCAGGGAAATTAACAGGCATCCAAGTACTATGGAACACAATAAAAATACGAACAACCTGTTGGAGGTGGAGACTCAGAACAGAGAACATTTTTTTTTTGAGTTCCAATACTACAATTGTGGGTGACTTGAATTAAGAAATTGCTCGAGTGAGTAGACTATTGGTGTGAGCAGTGGAATGCTGGAGTGTCCAGGCACTGCTTCTCTTCTGTACCCAAACAAGCCGGTACTTCCACAATATACGAATCAAAAAACCCCAACAAAACTGTGTACAATAGTATAGAAAATAACCTCTGTTGAATCAAGAATGTACAATCCCACTGTATAGTGGTTATTTGTTCATACAATCACAAATACATCAGTTTCATATGTCCGTATCTCTCTCCCTCACATATTATGCTTACTCAGTATGTTGGTCTTGAGACCGTAATAATGAAACTATAAAACTAACTGTGTCCATATCAGGTACTTGCATTTTAACATCTTTTTTTTTCTTAAAATGTTCCAGTTGTGTCCAATCACTGCCATCATCAATCTTCTGAACATCCAAAGTGCTGGATACATTGGACAATATTCTCTTTCTTGCTCAGAGATTGCAATAACATTATCCCAATGGGGCATGTTGTACCAACAAGGAACCCAAACAAACTGGTACTTACACAGTATATGAATCAAAAAAACCAACACAACTGTGTATAATAGTGTAGGAAATAACCTCTGTTGAAGCAAGAATGTACAATCCCACTGTATAGTGGTTATATGTTAATAGTGTTTGTACCTGATACGGACATTTGATCTCTTCTGTACCCAGCAAAATCCCAATGCGCAATGCTTCTTTTCACAAAACAGGAGGCATGGCTTGATGGCTCCTTTGTGCAGTTATCTTCTTAATACATTGGCCATTTTCAGAACCAACTTATTAATACGAAAAACTGCAAGATTATGTTCCTGATGTTACTTTTTTGCCACAGAACTCCCCCCCCCCCCCCCCCCCCCCCCCATACTTGCATCTTGGAGGCGTGTGCCCCTGGCATTCTGGCACCCCAGCTTAGTTTCACTCTAGGCCCTGAAGATAAGCAAAAATCTTTTTTGTCGTGCCTAAAACATTGCAGGTGGGATGCCTCTGTGACCTGTTGTAGAGTGTCAAATGCCTGGCCTTGGATGCTTGCCAATCTGCCTTATGCTGTTTTGGGTTTAGGCAGAGCTGAGGTTCCAAAGCAGCTAGCCGGTAGGTTCATACAGGATAAAATCTTCCCAGACTATACGGGGGGATTTATAGAATATCACCAGCACTTGGAATTGTGCCAAGTAGCAATCCAAGCCACCAAAGACCTTTTAAAACTGGCCCCGGATGAACCCCTATTCTGTTTTCCGGAGCAAGCATCTTCCCCTTCCCCTTTCCTGATTTCTGCTGTCCTGTATATCCTGCTGTACAGGTATATATCGAGGCACTCCTATTTTTGCAAATTGCTGTGTACCGGCTTATTTTGCTTTATGCAGAGTACCTCTTCAACTATTGACAGTCATAGGAATAAAAATTCCTTAAGAATTCTTAGACACACACACATACGGCTTGGCTATTTTTATTCCTTTTAACCTTGTAAGTATTTCTTTTCTCACCCTTCAAGAAGTTTAGGGTAGTATATGTGGTTCTCCGTGTTCTCCTGAAAGCCCGGGTGGGGGGTTAGGGCAACTAGCCCAGGGTCACGGCAGGCCAGCTGAGTGGGTGTGACCCCAGGGTTCCTGATCCAACCACTGCGATCCCACTAGCTGTTTTCATCCCCCCCCCCCCAGCTGCTTTCTTAACAATATATTGTTTATGATGTGCTGCTGTCATTCAGGGCATTAATTTTAAAAGGTGGATTTTTTGAGTGACAGATCAAAGTGTTCTGTGTTGCTTTCTCTCTCAAAAATACTGGTTTCAGTAGAACAGTTAGGCTTGAGTCCAGTAACACCTTAGAGGCCTACAACAATTTCAGGGAATAAACTTTTGAGAGTCAAAGCTCCCTTCACCTTGAAACTCTTGTTTGTTTGTTTGTTTTTAATAAGTTAAAGTGTTCTATATGTTCCATCTTATAAAATGCATTGTGTATTATTCATAATATTCTAAAACAGGTATTTATTCATTACATGCAATATCAACAATAATAATCAGTTTGTACAATCTAATAGCTACCAGTCAATTTACATCCTTTTTACACAAATCAACACAAGACCCAAGGTCTTCTTGGGTTCTGTTATTAGAGAGTCAACATGGAATGTTTCCTTCAAGATTTGATAAGTAGTAATTGATAAGAATTGTGATGGCTACACGCTCAGATAAAATAAATATTGTGAAACGAATTGTTTACATTGCGCAGCATTTGTTAGCGTGTGAGCGATAATAGAAGAGAATTTTCTACAGAATTACTACAGTAAATGCCATGCCAGGCTGGTTAATTCTAGTGGCATTTGATGGGATCAAACGAGAGCGTTGACAGCAGACATTGGCTTGATCTATTTCAAAGTCTCCAGCCTTATAATCTAACCTGATATACTGCTCCCAGGTGGTGGAAATCCAAGAACAACATCTGTGACAAAAATAACGAAGTCAATAAAGATATGTTGCAAAATCACATTGAAACTCTTGTTGATCATTTTAAGGTGCTATTGGACTCAAATCTAATGGTTTTACAGCGGATCAACACAGCTACCCTCTGAAACTGGCTTCAGTATGGTTCCCAAGTACAGAGTTGCTTACTTGTGAGTAAACCAGAGGGGCACATTTCTGGGGAACCATGCCCAGAATAGTAGAATGTAATGTAATTTGCAATGGTCGACTGGAATATATTTCTCTTGACTGGGGACAAATAATTATTATTATTATCATATGGCAGTGTGTGTAGTATAGCCAAGAAATCCTAAGATTGTCTGGCAGCCAGAAGTTCTAGCGCTTTTAGCGTTGTGCACCACTAGCTGGTGAGCTAGACTTGTTTTCAAGGCAAGAGATGTTTCAGAGGTTGTTTGCCACTGCCTGCTTCTGCATCACACCCCTGGTATTCCTTGGAGGTTGCCCATCCAAATGCTAGCCAGGACCAACCCTGCTTAGCTTCCAAGATCTGATGACATCAGGCTAGCCTGGGGCACTGGGGATAGAGGAGATACACTGCACAGCCAGTGGCCCCCACCACAAAGAAGAGGATGCTGTAAGGTTGTCTCCATTCTTGAGAGGACACAGATGAAGCGTGACAGCAGGGTCTCCATTAATGACTCAGCATTCAATAATGAAGACTACATCTGCCCATCAGTCTCCACTTTTGATGTCTCTATTTCCTTCACTATGTTTCCCCCTGGAATTAAACCCAAACAAATGGTGACCATATAAACCAAGCTTGTTCTTCCAGTTCAGTCCTTGCATTCGTTATGCACCTTTATTATGCTGTAAGCTGATTTGCTGCTCACTCTCAACCTATATGTATGGACCGGCAACTTCAATTTCAATGTATCTGAAGAAGTGTGCATGCACAGGAAAGCATATAACCAGAATTAAACTTTTGCTGGTCTTAAAAGGTGCCACTGGACTCCCAACTTTGTTCTACTAGTAGGACTGGTGGTGGGAAGCGCCTTCGAGTCACAGCTGACTTATGGCAACCCTGTGGGGTATTCAAGGCAAGAGACATTCAGAGGTGCTTTGCCATTGCCCGCCTCTGTGTAGCAACCTTGGACTTCCTCGGTGGTCCTCCATCCAAATACTGGCCAGGGTGGCTGACTTTGCTTAGTCTCCGAGATCTGAGGAGACTGGGTTAACCTGGGCTGTCCAGGTCACGGCACCACCAGCACCGTTTGTTGTCTGGTTGAACAGTGACAGTCCCCCATCTAGTCTGGCACTCCTCTTTCTCCCCCCCCTCTACCAGGCAATAACACTTCCAGGAATGTTTGCCATCAGACTGGCTTAGGCAGCTGTGAAATGCGTTTTATGTATTGTTTTGATTCTTTTATAACATCTGTCATTTTAGCTGGTCTACACCATCCTGAGCCCTGTTTTTTCAGGGGATGGTGGCTTAAAAGTCGAATTTAATAAATAAATAATAATAATAATAATAATACCTTTTGATTTATTGATTGCTCAATCCTGCAGGGCTGCTGGCTCTGAGCGATTTACAGTTACACAGGTTTTCACAAGGGACTAACAATGATAGGGGTAAGGGAGGACAACATATAATTCTTTAAATCATACACGTTTGCAGCCAACGGGGATTTTGTTCAGCTGTAGGCTGCAACAGCAACAATAAACTTTGCTAGGGATGCCAGCCTCCAGGTAGGATCTCGGGATCCGCCCCCCCCCACTACAACTCACCTCCAGACTACAAATTTAGAGTCCAGTGGCACCTTCAAGACCAAGAAAGGTTTATTCAAGGGATGAGCTTGAATTTTTCAAGGGATGAGCTTGAATTTTTCAAAAAGTGCCTTGCACACGAAAGCTCATACCTTGGATAAACCTTTGTTCAAGTCACACACACTAAATAATCCACTTTCAGGACTCTTTCCAATTGGATTTTACTGCGTGAACTGGCAAAATGCAGTTGGAAAGTGCACTGAAAGTGGATTGAAAATGGATTATTTAGTGTCTGTGACTGCAACCATGACTGACCACCTGGATCTGTCTCCAGACTACAGAGATCAGTTCCCCTGGAGAAAAGAGATGCTTTGGAGGGTGGACTCTATGACCGAGGTCCCTGTCCTCCCCAGACTCCGCCTCCAAATCTCCAGGAGTTTCCCAACCTGGAGACGGCAACCCTGAAGGCCAAATGCAGAGACCCCCCCTCCTCCTCCTCCCGTCCTAACGGACTGATTCCGTCTCCTAGCACCGCCTTCCTTCGCCCCGCCCCCTCCTGCTACTCTCAGCCAATGGCAGAAGCCCAGGGATTTGCCCCTCCCCGGCTCGGCGCGGCGATGACGTCACAGGCGGGCGGCCGCCCTTTCCGCGCCTGCGCCGCCGCCGTGCGTCTTTCGCGTCGCCTCTTTCTCTCCCCTCCCCCAAGATGGCGGCGGCCAACAGCAGCGAGGCGGTTTGTGGCGACGGCCCCGCGGGCCTCAAGAGGGCTCACCTGGGGATTCCCGAGGCGGTC